TTGGGTCACAACGCATCAAGCAGGTGGCGGGAAGCGAGCGCTGGAACATAGGGAGGATATGGAGCTGAAGAGGTGTTTCAGGTAGGTTGTCCTATCCTAGTGCTGGTGACTTGAGTTCAGGTGGGCGACAAAGTTCCCTTTAAGAGAGATTCTTCGGCCACAGTACATGGTTCTAAGCTCCAGAAGCGCGAGTTCCACGGAGTGTATCTAGTGATCAAGCCTTGATCACCAAGGTCTTGTCCCCAACCAGTTACCGGGTGAAACCAGTACACCGAGTTAAAGGTGGTAAGTTGGAGATGACAGCCCATGCGACGTCGTTGAAGCGGTGGAAAAGAGACCGAGACAACAAGTTGCGGCCAACCAAGAGGCTGAGGAAAGGCGAGTGAGTTAATCTCATTAGTTGGGCAATCTGGAGTGTTGTGTTGTTGATGGTAGTGTTGACTCGGAATTCAGCATCCTTGTGTTAATCACATGTCAATAGTCCCCGGAGACAAGGTGTTCGTTTGGTCGAACTTCTCTCTAGACCGCCAAGTTCGTCAGGAGTATTCGGTCGTCAGTGCTGAGGACGACTGGTATGCCGGAGAAGACGATCCTTACCTGTATCGTCTTCAAGGAGACCGTGATGGTGAGGAGCTGGTTGTTTAAGGTGAAGAAGACCTCTGTCCGTTAATCGGCAGAAAGCAAGCCTTGTGGGGCTATGCTGAGTGCTGGAGCAGTTTCCGAGATAACATAAGAACTGAGAAGTGCTTAAGACACGTTTTAAACGTGAACAATAACTGGGTTATCCTCTAGGATTTGTTTAGCTATTCACTACGTTCTCGGTGTCTTATGGCAATTGTTGCGCTGTTACCAGTAAGGTCGTTTCGGGACGCAACGACTAGTAATGCCAAAATTGTAGCACCTCATACGCTTACTCGTTGAGGGTTTAGGATCAGCGACAGAAATTTTGTCACAGAATCGTCATCGTGGGGAAATACCGGAGAAGAAGTAGCAGTATAGCAGTAGTGGAGTGTCGTCGCTTCACAGGAGTCGTAAGAAAAGAAGAAGAACCTGCCCATCCGGAAAGGCCATCAGTTACTGATGGCAGAAGGAGTAGCGAAAGATGCTTTCCGATCTTTAGCGGAAGAGGTTATAGTCACAGTTGATGATTGATAATCGACAAGAGAATTCGGGCTCTGAGAAGACAAGTACTAGCAGAACGATAGACGGTAACCGAATCAGAGAATCTTACCGGAGATTACTTGACTGACTCAATCCCCGACGAAGAAGAAACCGACTTAGCACACAGCAGAAGTTGACATTTAGCTTAGAATTGCTCAGCTGATGACTATGACGACGATGAGACGGAGATAACCGCTAAATCCTCAAAGCAGAGGTTCGCGTTGAATGATGACTAGGAACCCGAAACCGATGAACCGGAACGACAACATCATGCGCAATTGATCTTAGATCAATGATCTATCAGAAACCTGAGAGGAATGTGTACGTGAAATACAGTAATACGAGTCTAAGGAGAACGTTGAAAGCAGTAGCTGACCCCGAAAACTAAGAGAAGTAGCCAAGTCGCGACTGGCGAGTCATGCTGAGAGTCGTAAATAATTAATTAACGGCGTGAATTGGTCCCTGCTCCATTACCATCATCTATGGAAATGAACCAACGTTGAGTCTTGAATCAAGACTCTTGATATAATGATCATGTACGAACTCCAATGACTAGTGTATGCTGGGCACCACCAGTTTGGTGACACCGAAAGTTTGGTCCAATTTGGACCGTCCACTGGACGGTCCACGTTCTGGACGGCGTCCAGAACATAAATCGATAGCCAGGGCGCACGCTGTTCGATCCATATTTCACAGCCCTACAATCACAAGGATTGCCAAGTTGGCAATCCTTGTCCAGAAGACCAACTTGGCGGGAGCTGTCCATGTGCAGTTATTGCCAATACTGATGTTGGCGGAATGAGAACAACACGCAGATTACTGCACATCTGTTGGATTTTGCAGAATCCACCAAATCTTAGTCCAAATCAGTTGTAGAGTAGCGTATTTCACCACATTGTTGTAATCTATTCCAACACTGGTATCACCTAGAATTCCTGTCGTTAGGCCTGCGAATCTGTTTGGCGTCATTTTGGCGATTTCTGAGTTGGCGAAATCTGATACAGCCGAGGAGAATAGGTGATGGAAACATTTCAAGTTGCTCAGGGCTTCAAACTATCCGTACCAAACGATTATGCGCTGCGTCACAAAACAGTGAGGGATTTCGTCCGGTTGAATCGACTCTCTAGCATAATCGTTTGTTCCAGTTCGAATGTGGACTCGCTCTTCGATTCATATCAAGTCCCATGTGCGTCCTTCCTCGCGAACCTTTTCCTATCTTCAACTTTACATATCGTCCTCTTTTCTTATCGCATTGACAGTTCACATTGATCTCAGTTGTTTCAACCTCCTCTAGAAACAGCTCAGTGGTAAAGGCGTATCCTGAGGTCGACTTAGAGACATTGTGGATTCTCTGTCATTCTTGGAGACGACTCAGACTTCTTTAAATGCCGCCTTTGTTTTGAAAGTGATATTGTTCGCCGTCGTTATCACCATTCTTTACTACCAGGCAGGCCCTCCGGACTCGCTTTCCAAGGGTGGCCTCTTCTCGGCAATACTACCCTTCCCTCAGGACTACTTCTCCAATAGCCATCCGGATATGGGCTTCGAGACACCTATGTGGAGAGTAGGTCATAGGATGACAGGGGTATAGCGTATCAGATGGACGAGTGTGCATATCAATTTTACATCCACCAGAGGCTGATATGTTTAATGACATCCACCGCAGATGAACGATGGAGGCAGATGTACTGCTAACCGAAAGGTTCCCGGTTCGATTCTCTGGTGGAGTATTTTCAGCCTGAGCGTGGAGTCCATTTCGGTTTCTGTGATATCTATGTTGGCATCCCCTAACTTGGACTCTCCTGCCGATGTTGACGCCGCGGTTAGTAGTGGACCTACTTTGTATCTTACAGAGCGCGAGGTTAGATTCTTTCCTGGCAGGTGGAGTTCAAGAAAGATTACCCAGCCTACAAGGAGAAAGTTCACAGACTGGTATGGTATCTTGATGTCGCGCATGTAAGATTCAAAACAGGTACGGCAGTCCATCGAAGGTTAACTAGAGCTGAACCGTGTAATATTTCGTTTCACGAGACAGCTCGACACATGCCCAATTTGCATGCCCTGTTGGTCTTGAGTTCACAGTGAGTGTTATAATACCGTCAGTTTACTACATGGGAGTATCTGAGGAGGACTTGGACGAGTGGATCGAGCTGTGCGAGGATAAATGTGATCGTCTAGTCCTCCTGGCGAGCGTTAGAGGTCAGCGCAGTCGGCCTGGACTAAGCGATTCGCTTCTTGTACGATTTGGGTTGATAATGGATCGGTAGTCGATCGGTGTAGGCAGAATGGGAGAGGTTAAAAAAGAGAGTCCAGGGGGAGGGTGGAGGTCCTGAGGATCTTGAAACGGTCGATTTGGAAATGCTGGAGTAGTAGTAGTAGTAGTAGTAGTAGTAGTAGTAGTAGTAGTAGTAGTAGTAGTAGTTGTTGTTGTTGTTGTTGTTGTTAGAATACGTAGTTGAGGAAAGAGGGTTCCTGTTAGGTTCTTCCTAGAGTCCATACATGGTCTCCACCAGTTGCCGGCTAGTGACTATAGGAAACTGTGCTTGGCCTTTCAAGATTGGTAGTATGATCGGCTGAACGTTGAGTTTTGCAATGAATGGTACATGGTCTTACCGTCTAAGAGTAGCAGATATGTAGTGTGGATAGGCTTGGGAATAATTGGTATTATTTCTAGTGACATTTGTAAGGGTGGAATGCACGCGCAGAGCTCACTAGTTGAACGAAGCATGCGATATCAATTAGCTCTGTGGTTGGAGTTGGTGAAGTGATGGTATGAGTGTATTCGTTTTCAGCTATGATCGACTTGTCGCTAGAGGTTGGTCAACCTCGTCTATCTCCAGGATGTACAGGTGGGTTCATTGGATTGAGCTTTGATGCATTTGTGAGTGTCTTCTCAGTTGCGGCTTGGAGTTGAGCAGTGTATTGATGTCTTTTATCAAAGGGCAACTGAGGGAAGATATAGTTGAGGGTAGGGTGGAGGGGGTGGAAAGCCTCGAGAGGAAGCCGACGCAGAAAGGGTCGGGGCAGACCAAAGGACGATATTATTGTAAAATGTCGGCGCTGGGAATCGAACCGGGGATATCTTTTGATCAGCTCTCACAACGGAGAAGATCGACTTTACGGGTATGGAGAATGTGGATGAGTCGGAACAGTATAGTTGGGATTTGGTGCTCGATGCGGAATGGATTGGTAGGAGGTCGCAGGTTCGATCCCCGGGGAGAGCATTTTAATAACAGGAAACGAAGGCCGATTTGCCAATCATGCCGATGATCCTAATGCTAGTTTTGTATTGAGGAAGAGTCGCGATGTTTGTGATGATAACCCCATGGCTGAGCATGACAGTCTTCCTATACAGTGTATGAGCTTAGTAGCAACAAAGGCAATACGACGCAAGCAGGAGATTCTTGTTCACTACGGCCCGACCTACTGGCAAAACGTGATGAGCTCAGAACCTAGTGTGATGGAGAAAAGACATTTGAAAATCAGTCGAACTTCTTGGCTGGAGGGATTCTGTTATTATGATGGAGTTCTTATAGACGGCGGATTTGTCACTGCTGAAGCTGGTTGTCACATATCAGCGTTGAGGGAAGGTCTCGGCCTTGGAGATTTGCGAACTGTTCCTACGTCCCTTTCTGGGCCGTTGAAACCAGGAGAAGAGAAAGGGGTGAGAGTGGTAGAGGAAATACCCGCTTACATTGATACATGAACTCCTTTGTACCCTA